GTCGAAGGGCCAAGAAGCTGAAGAGGCGTTAGCAGCTGCTTTTATTTTTGTGAAATTCTCTGCTGCAAGGATTTCCTGCCTTCAGACTGAAGCCTCCTTATCATTTAGATTTATACTTGGGTACTCAAGGAGAAGGAATGCATACTGTCATTTGCAGGCTGTCATTTGAGCATAAAATATTTTCAGATATTTTCCAGGGTGAAATCTGTAATGCAGATGATATAATGCCCACTTGTGCTCTTATGAAGTTAACTGTTCAGAGATGCCAGCCTTGATCCTGATGAGCTATGTACTCTAATGTGGGGCCACTCACCAGTCAGCCAATCTTTTATTGTTCCTTTGCTACTTTGAAAGGAAAAAAAAAAGGTTGTCTCTTGACTTCTGTTATTCTTCTGCTAATCTGTGAGTAGGGTACTGCCCTGCTCCCAATCAAACTTAGTCTTTTTATGAGAAACCTGGACCTTCCATGAATGTTGCCAGCAATAAAGTGACTTGTCCTAATCTATGGATTGAGAACTTGAAAATGTAGAGTAGGATTTATAACTAACTTATGGATGTCATCCTGTGACTTTGAAGTACAAAGTAGAATAAATTATATTCTGTATTATTCATGGATTGGATGCTGAGCATTCTTACTCATTAAGTGGTTAGAAATTAATGAAAAAATTTTCAAGTTAAAATACAGGTTATAACAGTATAATATTCTTTTCTAAGTTTTCCTTTCAGTTATGTTGGCTTTAGTGTAAGATAGACAAGGTCACTGTGCTGATTGATTTTTTTATCTAAAAAAAAGTCATTTTTATATTGAAGAAAAAATATTTTATTCAAACATGAGATTTGAAAGAGTAATAGTTTATAAAATAAGGAAGTAACATGTGAGGCTTCCCACTCCCCTCCCCCATCATAAAGATATTTTGAAATCCCAAGTTGCCCCCATACCTCTTGACATTAATGACTTTTCATTTTTAGCTTGAATTTGTTAGCAAATATTAAAGGCAGAAAACCAAAAACTAAATTTATGGTTATCGAGAGCACCATCTTCTCCTTTTGCCCATATTGCACTTTGATTTCAAACTATGCACTGTGAAGAGATTTTTTCCCCCGGGGTAGGAAGGGATGTTCCCTGTTATCAGTATTTTACTGAGCTGTGGAAATTCATTTTTACCCTTTTAAAGGCATAAATATAGACTTGATATCCCTTAAGCTTCAAGTCCAAGCAGTCCAATCAGGCTGACTTAGGATGAGGCTGGAAGGAAGCCAAGTCTCAAGAACTGTCTGCAACAGAAAATGAGATATGATGCTAGAGAGCATTTGTCCTTGACTGTAAGTACGAAGGCTTGGGGGAAGTGAGACATCAGCTTGTGACAGTTCTACAATAAATGTTCTGGCTATCTTAAGCCATTGTATGGTAAGGATTAGGAAGTAAGAGGGATTGTCCTACAACAGGCCCTTACACTTCAGCAGACCAAATGTTTTGGTTTATTCCTTTTTATCCATAAAGTCTTTATTCTTCAAGTTTGGGTATTACAGATTACCATCGTTAGCCTTCCTTAATGGGACCATATGAGCCAGTCTTTTAAGACTGACTCGTTTTGAATTGAGTTTCAAACTTTCAAAATACAAAGATTTAATTTTTAAATTGAATCCCATGAAAGGCGTCTTCATCACTAGGAATAACACCCTTTGTAACTGTGTATAGAACTGTCAAACTGGTATCAGAAAATCCTATTGATTTCATCTCACCCATCTCAGATACCTTCAGTGAAATTGATTTAAGGGTAGTGTGATGCCCCATGTAATAAAACAGGCTTAGAACATCAGCTCCTTTGCTGCCATTTATGTGTTTTTATTCCCCCTCAAAAATTTTTTCTTGAATATATATTTTTTTCAACATTCAGACTCTGAAATCTGTCATTACAATCAAGTGCTTGTCACAGCTGAAATATTTTTGGTGGCTTAAAGTGTACTAGCAGTAAATTTATGATATGGTACAGTTATTTGTACAGAAAGGCACCATTGTGTTAGAATACATTTCCAGAACTTAGTAGAAAGAATCAGGTTTTAACCTTACGTGTCTGTTACTTCTGAGTGCATTTCTATAATACAAATGTTGATTTCCATCAACATTATAAAAGAGCACTTCTGTGGCTCATTTAAAAGAAAAAAAAAGGTTAAGTCTTTTAAATTTTGGCCTTGCTTCCAAATCCTGTCTTCCATGTTATTCTTCTGCACTTCCTGACCATTCTTACAAAAAGCTCACAAACCTTTGAAGAAACTGGAGTAAACTGTTATTTCATTAAGGTTTACAAATTAAATGCTTGATTTTTAATGTAGTCTCTACTGATTTGATTTTCAGATTTTCTTAATTCAACATTTGAAGATGTGCCTTTTGGGTAATGTTAATCACGAATGTAGTAATATTTCATGATTGTAATAATGTTACATGATCATGGGTACAGCATTCTCTAACAAATGATGTGAAAGGAAAGGAGTTTTCATAAAACTCATGGCTCTGATTGCACAGTCCCACTTGCTTTTGACATTGCTGTGTCAAAGCAAAGGGCACTTCTTTTAAGGCTACTTTCAGAACTTTGTATTTTCTCTAAACTATAAATGCAGTTATGTCCAGTTGGAGGCCAGGGTACCACATGTCACAGGCAGCCTTACGCGTGTGCCATGAAAAGGTTGAAAGACTGTTAACAAAAAAGTCTGGCTGGGTGTGGTGGCTCACACCTATAATCCCAGCACTTTGGGAGGCCGAGGCGGGCGGATCACTTGAGACCAGGAGTTTGAGACCAGCCTGGCCAACATGATAAGACCCCGTCTCTACTAAAAATACAAAAAAGTAGCCAGGCATAGTGGCGCGTGCCTGTAATCCTAGCGACTGGGAGGCTGAGGTGGGAGAATCGCTTGAACCCAGGAGGTAGAGGTTGCAGTGAGCCAAGATAGCACCACTGCACTCCAGCCTGGGTGACAAAGCAAGACTCCATTTCAAAAAAAAAAAAAAAAGTCTGTGGGAACTCTCAAATTTTCATTTTTAATGTAGTCCCCAAGATTTTCTCCAAGAAATAAATTGTTGTTTTATATTTTATAACTTAAAAGCAGCTATTGGTAAATTTCTGAGATATAGCCGGAGACCAAAACGTGTTTGGAGAGAGAATAAATATATGAAGAGACACTGGTTGTTTTATTTTCAATGTGCTGAATATGTTAGACTACTGTTTATTTTCTGAGTCGATGTGATTAAATATTCAGGCATTTAGTGTATGATTAAGAGTGATATAGAGATTTCTTTGGCATTATTAAATCCATCCTGTCTTTTACATAATGGACAAATCAAGTTAAAAAAATTTTAGATAGCTTAGCTTGTTTTCTGGTGCTGTTTGACCTGCAAGAGAACATACTTTTGCATATACAGGTGAAAGTTTTGCAATTTATGTATACAAGAAATTGTAGGCATTAAAAATATTTTATTGATATTTTTGCTGGTTTGCATTTATTGATCAAAACTTTGAGATATTTATCTCATCACCCTGAACATTTTTCCAGCTAGAAACCTCGGTATATTCGTCACACTTCAGAGATAGGGTTTGCCTCTTGCACACATTCCTCTGCTTAAGCTCCCTTACCCATTCATGCCTGCACGATCATGATAGTGCTTCTCTCCCCCTACCAGCTTAGAGAACCTGTTCTGCTCTCAGACACCCATATTAAGAGAACTGTTAGGTGGTCAAAGCAAAGGAATCTAGTGGCTCAAGCTTTGGGAGTTTCCTCAAATGGAGGGAGGACACAGAGCTGGGTATATGGTTCCTCTTGTCAAAATGAGCATCGTCCTATCTCTTATGATAACAGCTTGAGATGCCTGAGAAGAGGAGTCCTTAGAAATGTATATGAAGCAGGCTGGGCACAGGGGCTCACATCTGTAATTTCAGTACTTTGGGAGGAGGAGGCAGGTGGACCACTTGAAGCCAGGAGTTCAAAACCAGTCTGGCCAACATGGCAAAACCCTGTCTCTACTAAAAATACAAAAATGTGGTGTGCACTGTAATCCCAGCTGCTCAGGGGGCTGAGGCATGAGAATCGCTTGAACCTGGGAGGTGGAGTTGTAGTGAGCCGAGATTGTGCCACTGCACTCTATCCTGGGTGACAGAACAAGACTGTTTAAAAAAAAAAAAAGTATGAGGCAAATGAGCACAGCCAGAGGACATAGGTACTTAAATCACTGGAATGGGTTGAATGTAAATCACTTAAAAAAATAGAAGATGCTAGTATCCTAGATTCAGAAATTACTAAAGTTTTGCTTACAGATTTTGAATTTATTTTCTTTCCATTAAAAAAAGGGTAATCCATTCATTGCAAAGAGCTACTTACAAATAGTTAAGCAAACATCCCAAATAACAAAATGTTTTCTATGTAAACAAAAGATCTACTTTGCTGGAAAAGATACACTTCTCTTGAATATTGGAACTGTATCAGTCATCCTCAGAATGGGTACAGTTCCATACTGTTTTTAAAGTATTTACTCCTGTTAAGTCTCTCTCAGGCTCCTGTCTTTTCAGTAGTCACGAAAAAGAAAAAGAATTATCAGGCAACTTGCTGGATTTCCTTTTTTCTTCACGTTTTTTTAATATGGAGTCTTGTACTGTCACCCAGGCTGGAGTGCAGTGGTGTGATCTTGGCTCACTGCAACCTCTGCCTCCCTGGTTCAAGCGATTCTCCTGCCTCAGCTTCCTGAGTAGCTGAGATTACAGGTGACTGCCACCATGCCCGGCTAATTATTTCTGTGGTTTTACTAGAGACGGGATTTTACCATGTTGGCTAGACTGGTCTAGAACTCCTGGCCTCAAGTTATCCACCCGCCTCAGCCTCCCAAAGTGCTGGAATTACAGGTGTGAGCCACCATGCTCGGCCTAACTTACTCGGTTTTCAGGTGAGGGAGATATTTAAACAGCAAGATCTTAGATATCCCAGAGTCTCTTGTTTGGCTCTTTTCCTTCCCACATGAAAGTGTGAAGGGAGAAGCCCTAGATCTTAATCTTGACTCTGCAGCCCAGGGCTGTGTGTGTTGGCAAGATAGATATGACCCTCAACTTCATTTTTGCCATTTTGTAAGATGAGGCTAATACTCAGCTTCAGAAGATTATTTTAAGGATTAAGATAATTATACTTTAGTATCTAACCCCAATATTAAAAATGAGGTTCTGTCCCCACATGGTATAAGCTTCGGGTTCTTTTTTTTCTTTTGAGACTGAGTCTCATTCTGTTGCCAGGCTGGGGTGCAGTGGCCCAATCTCAGCTCACTGCAACCTGCCTCAGCCTTCTGAGTAGCTGGGACTACGTGTCACCACACCATGCCCTGGCTAATTTCTTGTATTTTTAGTAGAGGTGGGGATCACCTGAACTTAAATGATCCACCTGCCTTGGCTTCCCAAAGTGCTGAGATTACAGTCGAGCGCCACCGTGCCCAGCTGAACTAGATATCTTAATGCCAGTCTTAGAGACCATGTAGCAAAAGGACCCACCTGCATGCCATCCACTCAACTGTCTCTGTCACAAGCTAACAGAATAGTAAGTCTTCATTCATCTTAAAAAGTGCGATAACTGGCCGGGCACGGTGGCTCAAGCCTGTAATCCCAGCACTTTGGGAGGCCGAGGCGGGTGGATCACGAGGTCAAGAGATCGAGACCATCCTGGTCAACATGGTGAAACCCCGTCTCTACTAAAAATACAAAAAATTAGCTGGGCATGGTGGTGCGTGCCTGTAATCCCAGCTACTCAGGAGGCTGAGGCAGGAGAATTGCCTGAACCC